GCAAGCCTTGCAAATGCAGACCCAATAACTTGCCTCTACAACCATCATAGCTTCCATAAAAACATGTATATTCTTCAGTATGTTCGTAAAGTCTTTTTCTTTTCAACCAGCCAAGCTGACTAGGACAAAAACACAGGCAAGGGTTGGTTGCAGACATTTTCAGCTTTTGTTTCCATCTGAACGTAATACATGCCTGTTTGAATTCTGCTTTGATGAATAGAATGGATATCTGTGAGTGATTCCCCCCCCCTTTGAATGCTGGGCTTTGTAGAGTTGGAACACCTTCCTTCTGAAGTTGAATGAATTGATGGATGGCAGCACTCAGCCGGCTGGATTGGTCTCAAGGCTTTGAAATCCAAAACTTGAATGAAGGACTAATTCTAAACCAAATTTAGAAATAGAATGTGGTTTTGATCATTCTAAGGCAGTGTTTGCAAATGATAAATATTCACTAACGCAGGCATTGAGGCAGCACCAATTAACAGTGTAGTTGGGCCAAGTGTTGCAAGGGAGAAAAAAAATGAATGTAATTTTTTTTTGTCCGTAATCTTTACTTATTTATTGGAGGGGGGGTGGCTGGCAGGGCAAAAAATGTATTCCACCTCTAGAAATACGGTTATTGAGGAATCCTGCTTGGTTCAAAACCTTATAAGGACCAGCACTGAAGATATTAATGCTGGAAGCTGGATCCATTAATCTAGGGAAGGAAAATTGCCATGATATATTTGCTGTTGAAGACCAGCCAATATTTTTAGCTTCTGCTATTCTGAATCTTCCTTTACAGTAATTAGCCTATATTTGCATATATGAAAGAATAAATAGTGCAGCCGATAGAAAACTGCTTCCTAGGGATAAATGCTCTATTTTATAAAGAAATTCAGGGATGGAAGAAAACTCAGTATTCTTTTTTTCCCCTCTGCGTATTCTTTAATTTCATTTGTAGGATTAATGACTAAAAATATAGAACTCTTATCTTTTTACCAGCAAATGTTTGAAAAGAAAGCTGTTATAAATCTACAGTTGTGGATGTATAGTTATGAAATGGTTTGGGGAGATAATTTTTTGTAGGAATGTGGTGCAATCTTGGAAGAAAGCTTTCAGGCAGTCAAGAAATCCTCTTGGGTGATACAAACTAGACTGAAACAAGTAGCAACATGTGCTGCACTCAGCAAGTATTCTAAATCAAGCTATAGGGTTTCAGCGTATTGAGATGGAACAATTAATTCTGGCTTCTGACTGTCAATGTTTGTCTTTCCCACATTCAGGTTTTCATTCGTTTGGTACATGTTGGTGAAACACACATAAAGAGACTATTCAGGAATGGTGGATCACTTGCTTCCTGCGGATGAAACTTTCTCATCCACCAGGCCCTCAATTGGATACTTTGGGGACATGACAGCTGTTGGGAGGTCATACCAAATGCTGCCTTCACCAGTGTCTGAAGATGATAGTGATTCCTCAAGTTTTTGTTCTTGTTCAAGCCCAGATTCACAGGTTCTAGGCTCCAGCTATGGGAGTTCATCAAATGCTGAGAATCAGGACAGTATCTTGGACTATTTGTTGTCCCAGGCATCTTTGGGGAATGGCCATGCTTCTTGGTGGGATAAAAGGAGACTTCAGCCCATTGTGAAGGAGGAGAATTTTAGAATGCCTGAGTTCACAGTGGAGATGGAAGATTCTGGACCATTCCAGCCCACCCTTGAGGAGATAGAGGAGTTTCTGGAAGAAAACATGGAGACCGATCTCAAAGAAGGACCTAAGAGTGAGACCAAAGATATGAGAGCTTGCAGCCAAATTACTGTAGCTTCCATACAGCAAAAAGACCAGATGGTACCAAGTGTTACTTTAAAAGACAGTAAAAATGAACAGTCAGATGGTGCAATGGAAGGCAGCCATACGTCTAACGGAGCAATGTCCCTTGATGGAGGGATACCAGTCATGCTCCAGATCCAACAAGTTCAAGTTAAGCAAACGTCAGATGTGAGCCCTAGTTCGCAAGGACCGGTGCAAGAAAACATTAAAGTTGCACAGCTCTTGGTCAACATCCAAGGACAAACTTTTGCATTGGTGCCACAACTTGTTCAATCATCCAACTTGAACTCATCTTCCAAATTTGTCCGCATAGCTCCAGTTCCGATAGCTGCAAAACCTATTGGTCCAGGAGGTACAATGCAGGGTCAAAATGGGGTCATCATGGGTCAGAAGTTTCAAAAGAATCCTGCAGCAGAACTCATTAAAATGCACAAATGTACTTTTCCTGGATGTACCAAGATGTACACTAAAAGCAGCCATTTGAAAGCCCATCTAAGAAGGCACACAGGGGAAAAACCCTTTGCATGTACTTGGCCTGGCTGTGGATGGAGGTTAGTACTGTCATTTGGTGGCTGAATCTGATTCATAAATTCTACTGTGCACCTAATGAACAAAGTAATTGGAGCATGTTCCCTTAAAATTTGGTAACTTTCCAGAAACAATTGTGTTTATATTACAGGACATTGGGCTTTATAAAAAAATACTCAGTGGTATCCCATTTATAAAAGATAAGTCAGACTTGACAGAGCAAGTGCTGCTGTTTGAATGCCACTGACTCAATCACAGTTTGCTTTTTTGCAAACTGTATTTTAGTAAACCTTAGATACCCCGTATAGCTCAGTAGGAAAAGACACCCTTTGCATTCAGAAATTCCGAGGCTCATTCTTGTCTACTCCACTTAAGAGGTCTGATAGCAACTGCTGGGAGTAATTTATACTAGCAAGAGAGCATGTTTCTATCTACTGTATGTAGTATCATCAACTCAAAAGACAAGACTAAGTAGGAATATCCAAAACACACCAATTCAGAAGTATGTAAGTCAGCTTCCTATATTTCTCCCATTACAATTCATAAACTTTTAATTGTGTTTTCAAAATCCCTTTTAGCTCTCAGATCAAAGGATATCTCTGTTATGTAAATAGCTAAATTTCCTTCAGAAATTAACACAACACAGTTATACTTTCTCAGATCTTGCAGTTATACTTTCTCAGATAAGGAGAAACTTCCTAAAAGTGAGGACAATTAACCAGTAGAACAGCTTGTCTTCAGAAGTTATGGGTGCTTCATCACTGGAGGTTTTTAAGAAAAGACTGGACAGTCACCTGTCTGAAAGGTATAGGGTCTCCTGCTTGAGCAGGGGGCTGGACTAGAAGACCTCCAAGGTCCTTTCCAGTTCTCTTCTGTTTGAAATCTGGTCTCTGAAAATAGACTCTCTTAAAAATTTAAGATGTAAATGCCAACTATTTTCTACTATGGTAGCCACAAGTGTAATCTTCTAGTATCTAGTAGATTCAGATAGATTGTTTATTACTGTATATGTGTGTGAGTTTATAAATATATGTTTGCATACAGAGAGATTGATTCAAATTAATCCACATTTTTTTTCAAGATAAGGAAAGGTTAGTTAAAATAATTCCTAAATCTATAGATAAAGAGAATTTAAACTTCTTTGACCACCAGTTGTCACTGCCAATAGTTAAAAAATACTAGGAGTTTTAGGCCAAATATTCAGGATTGGTCACTTGTAAAAGCATGGTGCCAGGTAAACCCAAGACTTAATTTCTTGAATTTTGAAATGTGAAAAAAAATCAAAATTACTGATATGAATTCCTGCCTTGCATTGTATAAAGTTTCTCTCTTCTGATTCTTTTTTTTTTTTGGGTGGTGGTGGTGGTGATGGATTGGTGTCTATTAATGACAGGGTTTTATATAAACAATTGCAATATTTATTTTCCATTATGCAAAACATATGACTGATATCTTCCTGGCAAATTGCTTAAAGGGAAAGAAGATGCAGAGAATAATAATAGAAATGACTTTGCAGCATCACCAATGGAGCTGCATCCTACCAGGTCTACTTAAGGGGTATGAATGTCCTTGGCAGCATTAGCTAGGTTTGATTTACTAAGCCTGGGTTATTCTGGAACATCACCTTGTACCTTCCTGGGCAACCATTGGCCATTGAGTATCCACACAGAGACAGAGCCATCCTGCATCTTAGATGGCTGAGGGATCTGGTTAAGGACTAGGTTGGAACCCAGGAGACTATGAGTTCAAGTTCTACTTTAGCCATGAAAGCCACCTGGGTGATCTTGGGCCAGTCACTCTCTCTCAGCCCAACCTACTTCACAGGGTTGTTGTTGTGGGGAAAATAGGAGGAAGGAGTATTAAGTATCTTTGCTGCCTTGAGGTATTTGTAAAAATAATAAAGACAGGATACAAATTATATAGATAGATAAATAGATAGATATAGATAGATAGATAAATAGGTAGGTAGGTAGGTAGGTAGGTAGACAGACAGACAGACAGACAGACAGACAGACAGACAGACAGACAGACAGATAGATAGATAGATAGATAGATAGATAGATAGATAGATAGATAGATAGATAGATAGATAGATAGATGTAATCTAGGTCTCCAGAAACAAGAGTACATGAGGTTTCCTTGTCAAAGCTGCTGAGAATTATCTGTTGGGTGTTTCACTTTGTTTTCATTCCTTATGCAAAAAATATTCATTTGCCATGGGGCACAAGTGTCCTTCTACCCCCAGCTTGGAGGTTGGGGACTAATTTAAGGACACCCTAAAGAACATTTGGACATATGAATTTCCTCAGGACCTTTTTTCTTTTTTTGCTTCCATTTTTTTTTGTCAGCAGGATGTGCAAAATATTTAATAATGCTTTAGTAGGCATGATAGGCTGTTTCTCTGACTCTCAGAACATGGCAGTTGAATATTTACTAATATGGCCCTTTTCCAGGTATTTTGGATGTGTGCTAGAATATTGGTTTAGTGCAGTGTTGGGCTAACTGAGGTCTCAAGGCTGAATGTAACCCTGAGGCCTTTCTGTCTGGCCCTCAATGACTTGTTCACCAAAATTGCCAAAAAATTGTGCTATAGTGTGTCTCACCATTTTGAAATGGGAAAGGTGGGAAATTATATGTAAATCCTAAAATAGGCTTAACAGTTTAAACAACAGCCATTCCCTTCAACCCTCATTCTCCCCTCCCCTCAAAAATCATTTTTCATTTTACCCCAATGTGATCCTCATTACCCTCCTCCCATTTTAAGTGCAACTCCCTCCCCCCAAAAGTTACTACTCTGAGCTCTGAATTTTGCTTTGTATTTGTATTCATGGGTACTTATCTTTGGGCAAATATAGAATGGCTAACCAGAATTCAGAAATAGTGCCCCAAATCAACCAAATCAGTGGTCCTTCTTCAAAAACAAAGGGGAAGGGAACATTTAGAATGGCTTGTGGACTAGATGTGTCACAAGGTGTGCTGACCTAAAAAAAATAATAATAGAAGAAAAGCAGTAGAAAATGAATCTCAATGCTAGGAACTTAGTAATATCATTGCTTCATATTCTTTTGCAAACTACATATTCCATGCTTCACTTTACTCTTCTGTGTCACTTCCCGGTATTAACTAAGCACATCTCTGCCCCTCTTGTTTCAGCAAATATAGCTCAAATGTATCATTGGTATGATGGAAGGGTAGTGTTATCCCTCCAAGATAGACCAGATTAGGAAGCCAAAGTCACGCATGCAAATACTTAACTTTTATATAAGATTTCAGTGACAGAACCTTTGAAATCTGAGTGGGCTTTCCCCCTCCCTTTATTTTTGTGAGAACAACAAAGAGCCTTGTCACAGATGCTTTCTCACAATTACAGTTCTGGCCCAGACTCAGAATTCTTTTATCTGACCATTGTCTTGGCTGCAGCTCTTCCTTCTGTTCCTCAAGGCCAGGGGAAGGCAACCTTGGCTCTTTTATGACTCATGGACTTCAACTCCCAGAATTCCTGAGCCAGCATGGCTCAGCTTGGAAACCTCTCCCTTTTCCCTCAGCAGGGAGTTGGTGCATTTTTTCCTTCAAATGTTCCTCTCTTTGGGGACTGATCTCTGCTTTCCCAACATCACCGAATGTTCTTCTTGAACATCGAAGTCAGATTGTCAAATTGACTGAGCCAGCTAAGCTTAGAATTACACAGCTTTCTTTTATCAGCAGGTTACGTTTGCTTCTTTGGAGTTCGAAGAGAGAGTGAGACCTCACGAGACTGGAACAAATATATCTGAAGCCTCTGGTTTTTTTTCCAGATTTTCTTAAATGCTTCTGGTATTTTTCTCCCTTTCTTTCTTCTTTACGTCAGGTGGAGTAGACATTTTTTTTCTGAAGTAAATACACGTAAGATTACTGGGAAGCTTGAAAAATGTTGCACAGGAATATAATACCAGAGGTCCATAAACCACTAGTGGTTTCAGTAGAGAAGCATTAGCGTATCTGGTTGAGGATAGTAAGTGTGGGCGCCAAGGGCAATGATCTGGAGTTCAGAAAAAAAGGGAAAGTCCAGAGCAGAGCTCTGTACTGTAGAGAGGATGGCTATTTACTCAAAGTGTGTATCTTTAAAAACAAACAGAACTGCTAAGAAGAATGAAAAACTTGTTTCTTGTTTGAAAATCAAATATATACACAAATATAGCAGCTTGTTTTTTTTTTAATGGCGTGGTTTCATTGGTAATTCCTTTCTCTTATTAATTATCAGCACAGGTAGTCCTTGACCTACAACAGTTCGTTTAGTGACCGTTCAAAGTTACAATAGCACTGAAAACTCATAACCGTTTTTCACCCTTGAAATTACCGTTGGAGCATCCCCCCCATGGTCACATGGTCAAAATTCAGGCGCAACTCATATTTATGACGGTTCCAGTGTCCTGAGGTCATGTGATCACTTTTGGCAATCTTCTGAGAAGCAAAGTCAATGGGGAAGCCAGATTCATTTAACAAATACTGTATATTACTAACTTAACAACTGCAGTGATTCACTTAGCAACTGTGGCAAGGGAGTTCGTAAAGTGGGGCACAGTTCACTTAACAACTGTCTTGCTTAGCAACAGAAATTTTGGGCTTAGTTGTGATCGTAAGACGAGGGCTACCTGTATCATTACTCCATTTAGTTCAGCGCTGTCTATAGCAGCGTTGCACAAACTGGTTCTCTTTCAATGTGGTTGGGCATGTTGTAATGAAACATAACTGAAACATGCCAAGTTATGATATCCTAGTCCAGGGGTCTTCAAACTTGGCCCTTTTATGACTTGTGGACTTCAACTCCCAGAATTCCTCAGCCAGTGTGCCTGGCTGAGGAATTCTGGGAATTGAAGTCCACAAGTCAATAAAGGGCCAAGTTTGAAGACCCCTGTCCTAGTCTGCACTGATTGGCCATATTCCTGAGATTACAAATGCCCCTCCCCCATACAGTCTTCGGAAACTTGTGCTGGGGTATTTTAATTGCTCATGATCAGAGCTACAGCCCTTCTATAAGGATACT